ACTACTCAGTAACGAAGTGATCACTGAAGAATCAAAGAAGAAATCAAAAAATACCTAGAAACAAATGACAATGGAGACACGACGACCCGAAACCTATGGGATGCAGCAAAAGCAGTTCTAAGACGGAAGTTTATAGCAATACAATCCTACCTTAAGAAACAGGAAACATTTCAAATAAACAACTTAACCTTGCACCTAAAGCAATTAGAGAAAGAACAAAAAAACCCCAAATTTAATAGAAGGAAAGAAATCATAAAGATCAGATCAGAAATAAATGAAAAGGAAACGATAGCAAAGATCAATAAAACTAAAAGCTGGTTCTTTGAGAAGATAAACAAAATTGATAAACCATTAGCCAGACTCATCAAGAAAAAAAGGAAGACTCAAATCAATAGAATTAGAAATGAAAAAGGAGAAGTAACAACTGACACTGCAGAAATACAAAAGATCATGAGAGATTACTACAAGCAACTCTATGCCAATAAAATGGACAATCTGGAAGAAATGGACAAATTCTTAGAAATGCACAACCTGCTGAGACTGAACCAGGAAAAAATAGAAAATATGAACAGACCAATCACAAGCACTGAAATTGAAACTGTGATTAAAAATCTTTCAACAAATAAAAGCCCAGGACCAGATGCCTTCACAGGCGAATTCTATCAAACATTTAGAGAAGAGCTAACACCTATCATTCTCAAACTCTTCCAAAATAGAGCAGAGGGAGGAACACTCCCAATCTCATTCTACGAGGCCACCATCACCCTGATACCAAAACCAGACGAAGATGTCACAAAGAAAGAAAACTACAGGCCATCTATGAGGAACGCAGATGCAAAACTCCTCAACAAAATACTAGCAAACAGAATCCAACAGCACATTAAACGGATCATACACCACGATCAAGTGGAGTTTATTCCAGGAATGCAAGGATTCTTCAATATACGCAAATCAATCAACGTGATACACCATATTAACAAACTGAAGGAGAAAAACCATATGATCAGAGAAAGCTTGACAAAATTCACCACCCATTTATGATAAAAACCCTGCAGAAAGTAGGCATAGAGGGAACTTTCGTCAACATAATAAAGGCCATATATGACAAACCCACAGCCAACATTGTCCTCAATGGTGAAAAACTGAAACCATTTCTACTAAGATCAGGAACAAGACAAGGTTGCCCACCCTCACCACTCTTATTCAACATAGTTTTGGAAGTTCTAGCCACAGCAATCAGAGAAGAAAAAGAAATAAAAGGAATCCACATCAGAAAAGAACAAGTAAAGCTGTCACTGTTTGCAGATGACATGATACTACACATAGAGAATCCTAAAAATGCTACCAGAAAACTACTAGAGCTAATCAATGAATTTGGTAAAGGATACAAAATTAATGCACAGAAATCTCCGGCATTCTTATACACTAATGATGAAAAATCTTAAAGTGAAATTAAGAAAACACTCCCATTTACCACTGCAACAAAAAGAATAAAATATCTAGGAATAAATCTACCTAAGGAGACAAAAGACCTGTATGTAGAAAATTATAAGACACTGATGAAAGAAATTAAAGATGATATAAATAGATGGAGAGATACACCATGTTCTTGGATTGGAAGAATCAACATTGTGAAAATGACTCTACTACCCAAAGCAATCTACAGATTCAATGCAATCCCTATCAAACTACCACTGGCATTTTTCACAGAACTAGAACAAAAAATTTCACAATTTGTATGGAAACACAAAAGACCCCGAACAGACAAAGCAATCTTGAGAACAAAAAAATGGAGCTGGAGGAATCAGGCTCCCTGACTTCAGACTATACTACAAAGCTACAGTAATCAAGACAGTATGGTACTGGCACAAAAACAGAAATACAGATCAATGGAACAGGATAGAAAACCCAGAGATAAATCCACACACATATGGTCACCTTATCTTTCATAAAGGAGGCAAGAATATACAGTGGAGAAAAGACAGCCTCTTCATAAGTGGTGCTGGGAAAACTGGACAGGTACATGTAAAAGTATGAAATTAGAACACCCCCTAACACCATACAGGAAAAGAAACTCAAAATGGATTAAAGACCTAAATGTAAGGCCAGACACTATAAAACTCTTAGAGGAAAACATAGGCAGAACACTCTATGACATAAATCACAGCAAGATCCTTTTTGACCCTCCTCCTAGGGAAATGGAAATAAAGTCAAAAATAAAGAAATGGGACCTAATGAAACGTCAAAGCTTTTGCACAGCAAAGGAAACCATAAACAAGACCAAAAGACAACCCTCAGAATGGGAGAAATTATTTGCAAATGAAGCAACTGACAAAGGATTAATCTCCAAACTTTACAAGCAGCTCATGCAGCTCCATAACAAAAAAACAAACAACCCAATCCAAAAATGGACAAAAGACCTAAAGAGACGTTTTTCCAAAGAAGATATACAGATTGCCAAGAAACACATGAACGAATGCTCGACATCATTAATCATTAGGAAAATGCAAATCAAAACTACAATGAGGTATCATCTCACACCAGTCAGAATGGCCATCATCAAAAAATCGACAAACAATAAATGCTGGAGAGGGTGTGGGGAAAAGGGAACACTCTTGCACTGTTGGTGGGAATATAATTTGATACAGCCACTATGGAGAACAGTATGGAGGTTCCTTAAAAAACTACAAATAGAACTACCATACGACCCAGCAATCCCACTACTGGGCATATACCCAGAGAAAACCATAATTCAAAGAGTCATGTCAGGCTTCCCTGGTGGCGCAGTGGTTGAGAGTCCGCCTGCCGATGCAGGGGACACGGGTTCGTGCCCCCGTCCGGGAAGATCCCACATGCCGCGGAGCGGCTGGGCCCGTGAGCCATGGCCGCTGAGCCTGCGTGTCCGGAGCCTGTGCTCCGTAACGGGAGAGGCCACAACAGTGAGAGGCCTGCTTACCGCAAAAAAAAAAAAAAAGAGTCATATACCAAAATGTTCATTGCAGCTCTATTTACAATAGCCAGGACATGGAAGCAACCTAAGTGTCCATCAACAGATGAATGGATAAAGAAGATGTGGTACATATATACAATGGAATATTACTCAGCCATAAAAAGAAACGAAATTGATTTATTTGTAGTGAGGTAGATAGACCTAGAGTCTGTCATACAAAGTGAAGTAAGTCAGAAGGAGAAGAACAAATACCATATGCTAACTCATATATATGGAATCTAAGAAAAAAAAGGTCATGAAGAACCTAGGGGTAATACGGGAATAAAGACAGACCTACTAGAGCATGGACTTGAGGATATGGGGAGGGGGCAGGGTAAGCTGTGACAAAGTGAGAGAGTGGCATGGACATATATACACTACCAAACGTAAAACAGATAGCTAGTGGGAAGCAGCCACATAGCACAGGGAGATCAGCTAGGTGGTTTGTGACCATCTAGAGGGGTGGGATAGGGAGGGTGGGAGGGAGGGAGACGCAAGAGGGAAGTGATATGGGAACATATGTATAACTGATTCACTTTGTTATAAAGCAGAAAGTAACACACCATTGTAAAGCAATTATACCCCAATAAAGATGTTAAAAAAAATAAAATAAAATAAAACCAAAAAAAAAAGAAACACACCATTGTAAAGCAATTATACTCCAATAAAGATGTTTAAAAAAAAAACCCACAATAATCACACTAATCCACTAGACACTTTAATTACAGTGAATTTCATGCTCTCAGGACAAAAAGGGAGGCTCCTTAGTCAATAAGCAGAAAATAGATACAAAGAGATATTTAAATGATACCCAAGGGTTAAAAGTTAAATTGTAAACATGAGACTTTAGATTTAAGAAGGGTAATTCTAAGGGAATGTAAATTTTATCATGAACCCAAACCTTGAAGTAAAAGAAAACTCCCGAATATAAAGGGACTATGACCACAGAAGCTGACACTGATTTTTAATTGAATAAATCAGTGTGTGTGTGTGCGTGCACGCGAGGATGCCAGAATAATATTTTTCTTACAGCCTCTGCCTCCCCTCCACTCCAGCCCTCTGTATCCTCTCTACAGCCAAATCACCTCAAAACCCAGATCTGATCCTACTACTCATCTGCACAAAAACCTTCCTTGGCTATCATCCATAGAATGCAGCCCAATTCCTCAGCTCTCAGTGCCCTCAATCATCTTTCCCCAACCTACCTTTCCAGCCTATTTCCCACCACATCACCCACCCCTCTTTCACCCACCCCCTCCCAGACACTTCTCCTCTATGGTCCTTCCCTTACAGGAATTATCACAAAGACCCTGTGCCTCTGTGCTCTTTTCCATCTCTAAAATGCTCTTTGTTCCTCTGTGCCTTCCCAACCCCCCTCCCCCATCTATCAAAAATTCTATATTTAAGGGCTTAGAGCCACTGCCCCACCCTCTGCTTCTGTAGCCCGCTTTGTTAGGCTTGTTTTACGAGGTCTTATTATGTTGTGCTGTGTTTAACTAAACTATAAGCTTGAATGCAGCAATTGTATTAGACGTCTTCACAACTGTTATCCTCCACATTACCTGGCACAAAGAAACCTCTCAAAACATGCAGGGCTTCCCTTGTGGCGCAGTGGTTAAGAATCACCTGCCAATGCAGGGCACACGGGTTCGAGCCCTGGTCCGGGAAGATTCCACATGCCGCAGAGCAACTAAGCCCGTGCACCACAACAACTGAGCCTGCACTCTAGAGCCCACGAGACACAACTGCTGGAGCCCATGTGCCACAACTACTGAAGCCCGCACCCCTGAGCCTGTGCTCTGCCACAAGAAGCCACTGCAATGAGAAGCCCACGCACTGCAAGGAAGAGTAGCCCCCACTCACCACAACTGGAGAAAGCCCACACACAGCAACGAAGACCCAACGCAGCCATAAATAAATAAATTTATATATATATATATAAAAACATGCTTGTAAGAAGCTAAATGGAAACATTATTCTGAAGTTGGAATATTCCAAGAACACGACTGACTTTCAAGTTGTGGATCTGCTTGTCCCTCGGTACAGACTCCAAAGCTATTTTTCCCCCCTCAGTCAGCCTAAGGATAGGTGGAAGCCTGGAGAATTTAAACATAGGTTATTTTAATCGTTGGAAGCCACTGCTGGACTCTACCAGTCTGGAATGTTAATCATCTTTTACCATCCAACTCATTAATACAAATGTCTCAAGGGGAAAAAATATTCCTACACCAATGCCACTTTTTTTAAGTTATTTCAAAGTTGCTTCTGATCATGTAGCTTCACTTTCCCACACAAGTTTCAAGAGAATAGGAACTTCCCTAGGAAACACTGTGAAGTCTCTTCTTTATGTACCCTTCTGTGCTCTGCTCTGACCCACTACCAACCTCAAGCCCTCAAAGTTCTTCTCTCCTTTCCCTAATCAAAAACAGGATTTAATAAGAGCCATTTCTCTTTGTTGGCCTGTTACATTTGACGGTTCTTTCCCACAAAAATATGTCACCTTCAACTTAGCTTTTTATTTCATTACTGGAATGAAAGCTTCCTCTGTTGAAGTAATTTGAAATTTAAATATGGAAAAACTACTCAGGGGGGCAAAGGAGACCCTTTGAAACCACATCAGGCCTCCTTAATAGCAAATCCTTTCAAGCCTGGCTAGAAAAGAGCCGCCCTCTCCCACCCCCGGAGGCTGATCAGTTTTTCCACCCTCCTTCCCCTCCAGGTCCCAGCTAAAGGCTATGTATGGTTCCCAGGCTCCATTCCAGGACCCTCTCTGCATGATGTGTTGGTCCACTGGTCTCTGTCTCTCAGTCTTTTTCTTCCCCTTTCCCACCACCCTCCTCCAACTCTCCTAACCCAGAGTTCTCAACAGCTGCCCTACTAACATTTTGGACCAGATTATCCTTTGTTGTAGCAAGCTGTCTTGGACACTGTGGGATGTTTCACAACATCTCTGGCTCTACCAGCTACATGCCAGGAGCAACACACCCTACGCTCCCAGGAGTAACAGTCAAAAATGTCTCATCACCACGTAGAGAATGGACTTGAGGACACGGGGAGTAAGAAGGGTAAACCGGGACGAAGTGAGAGAGTAACACTGACATATATACACTACCAAATGTAAAATAGCTAGCTAGTGGGAAGCAGCTGCATAGCACAGGGTGATCAGCTCGATGCTTTGCGACCACCTAGAAGGGTGGGATAGGGAGGGTGGGAGGGGAGACACAAGAGGGAGGGGATATGGGGATATATGTATACGTATAGCTGAATCACTTTGTTATACAGCAGAAACTAACCCACTATTGTAAAGCAATTATACTCCAATAAAGATGTTTAAAAAATAATAATAAAGCAAATAAAACAGAGGCTTAAAAAAAAAGTCTCATCACCAGTGTCTAGAGGGTGAAACCCCCAGCTGCGAACCACCGCCTTAACCAAATCCATTCATTCATCCATCCATCCACTCATTCATAGGCACCATTTATAAAACCACCATTTTAGCCTTCCTCAAGACTTCCAGAGGCTTATGTTATCAGCATGTCTGTCATTACTTTACTCTAGACAGTATTTAGTTTTTTTTTAACACTTTAAAACTCACAGTTATGCTTCTCACATTATCTTCCCACATGCATCTTCTGGATACAAATTTCCTGGAACACATCCTCTTCAGTTATTGTAATAAGTCCTAAGTGCAAAGCTTTAGTGCAGATTATATATAAACTTTATGTACATTTAAAGAAAATGACTATAATGTAGATCACTCCATGTTTCCTAAGATGATGTGTACAAACAAGCACACTCACACACCAACACCAAGAAAAATAAGCAATGGAGCAGGGATTACACAGTCTCAGGAGAAACAGTTTCCTGGAATATGAATTTTGCTTGAAGATTTAAGGAGTTATTAATACAATAAAACAAAATTTTTATGTTAAAAGCAACATGAACAATTTGGAGCGAATTTCTTGCATGAATTTTAAAATAAGTATTTGGCAAAATTGTATTTTGCAAAGGATCACATCAAGCCGTAGTCCCAGGCAGACCTGTGCTTCAGCAAAAATGCTGAGAAGCCCTACTTTAGTGGAACTTGCCTTCTCTTCTTCTGGGGTACCCTGCACTGTGTCGCCTTTTATTTTCAGTTTCGTTGAAGTGAAAAATTCCACACCATAGCTAAAGTAAAAGTAAATAAACAGTTGTGAAGTGAAACTGAGATTAAATTTTTAAGTTTGCTTTGTTACTGGTCTCTTCTCTTCCCACCAGGAGTAATTTCTGAAGAAGCTCTCTTTGCTTTTCTACTCCTTCCCCAAGCCCCACCAACAGTATAGGGTTTTGTTTTCCTTTCATTTTAGCATTGCCACAAGCTATAGAAATCAGGGCAAGATACTTAACTCCTAGTCTTTTCTTCAGAATTCTGAAATAAATCTCAAAATCTTTTGTAACACCAAATTTCCATGGCTCTGAATAATATAGAATTTTACTAGCAGAATCACACTGATTAACTTACCTATTGTTTAAATACATTATATATTTTAATACCTTTAAAATAGTCTCATCATGAAAGCCTATGGACTATTAAAAGATGAAATGCAACCGCATTTTCTAATACATTAAAAAATATATATTTAGAAGGAAATGTCATCAGTACACTTCCCTGCAAACAGACCTGCTCTTAGCAACTCAAGAATAAACAAGAACAGTAATTGTCTTTTCCTCTAGTAAGAGTTGCTAGTACACAAAGTCATGAGTATAGCCAGTGGCCGAAGGGAGTACTGTTAGCAACCTGCCTGCCAGGTTCTAACACTTTACTAACCAAGCCAAGCGACCCAGTGCTGGCTCCTGATAATTCCCAGATAGCTAAGCACTTGGTCTCAGCAGCTTATAACCACAAAGCCATAAACTTGTCTTAAGCAGTTATGATCCTGAATAGGAAGGAGGTTGGGTGGAGGGAGTAAAGTCAATAATTAGAGAAAAGGGGGCTTCCCTGGTGGCACAGTGGTTGAGAGTCCGCCTGTCGATGCAGGGGACGCGGGTTCCTGCCCCGGTCCGGGAGGATCCCACATGCCGCGGAGCGGCTGGGCCCGTGAGCCATGGCTGCTGAGCCTGCGCGTCCGGAGCCTGTGCTCCGCAACGGGAGAGGCCGCAGCAGTGAGAGGCCCGCGTACCGCAAAAAAATAATAATAATAATAATAATAATAATTAGAGAAAAGGAAGAACTAACATGACAAAATTATTCGTGGATATCAAGTGAGAAACAGAATCCAAAGATACGAATGTAACCCCAAGTTACACCAAAGTGCTCTCTAGGACTTTATCAATGTTCTCATTCCTCTCCCATCCTCCCCAGCCCCCCACAATCCTCTCCCCAATTATGGTGGAGGCTCATAGAGAAATGAGGCCAACTTTACCTTGGATTTTTCAGTTAAGTGAAAGTAAATCCTTTACTTTTGGGGGGCTTAATTAAGTTCAGATTGGATTTCCCCAGTGATATAAAGAATTCTATTATGGTTGCTAAAATAAAACTAAAAGTATGCATTTTCCCTACTGAGAACAGTAAAAATTTAAATAATTTGTTTGACGTGAAAATCAAGATCAGTTGTCATTATAAAGATTAATGCAGGCATGTTGCCCACTTTGAGAAAACCTGGCAATTCAAATCAGTTATTTTATACTCAAAGATTTAACATTTCCTTTTAAAATACCCACTCCAAAAGTTTAACATACTAACCCAACAAAGGATAACAAATATGTTGCACTGATACAACAGATTAATTGGGACAATTAAGTCCTCAATTTGTTTTCTTGGAAACAATCTCCCTCTCATCTCATTCTGTTTCTTCTTTTGGGTTCTCATTTTACTGAATTTCTTGTTGTTAAGTCATTCCATAAATGTGAAGCAAATATGCAAAATTTTCTTCTGTTCCACGACCTGTATTTCCTTCCAGAGTGTCCTGGGTCTTTTGCACTCTGACCTGCGATGGTGCAGTGCTCCTCAGTGTGGACCTCAAACTGACAGCATCAGCATTATCTGGAAGCTGGGCTAAAGTGCAAATTATATGGACCCCTCTCAGACCAAATGAATCAGAATCTCTAGGGATGGGATCCAGTAATTTATCCTAATGATTCTTAGGCACACTAAACTTTTAAAACCACTACTGTTACACGTTTGCCTAGATATCATGTTGTTTCTTTTTATTTTGCTCATGCTTAACAAAGGCAACAGAAGACATTCTACAAGCCTTGACAAAGAATGGGTGACTTAACACTCTTCCCACTGTACATGAGACCAATTTCAATTTTTCTTCAAGATACAGTTCAGATCTGGGTCTAATTCTATTTGCTTTTTTAAGCCTAGGGAAAAGGAGCCTGGGATTGTGAGGGAAAAGGCTCAGCTGGATTTAAGAAAAGTATCTGAACTTTTGCTTTCCCTTCTGAGATTGTTCAACTGTCTGTATCAGTCAAGAGAAGTCCTCATCTTATTTCTATCCAGATTTTGGGATGCTAGTATGACTTTTCTCAGGGATTCTGGAGGTTGGGGGTAAAGAAGATCAATAATGTAAACTGCTCGTCTTTGCTCCACCCCAGCACAGAACACACCACAGAACTGTTGAAATTTCAGGTAACAATGAAGCACACGAAACTGGACCATAAGGCTCAAGAAGTAGTTTAAGGTCCCAGAGTGGTAATACTGGGAGTGCCAGACTGGGAGGGGGAGAGGGGGGTGTAGCACTGGTTGGGTTAAGAAACCATTAGAAAACATTACTTGATGACAACAATTTTTACAACATAAAATTTCCTAAATACAGTTATCATATAAAGTGCTCTAGCACAGATTCAGTTCCAGAAAGGAGGGGTTCCTTTCATATCAGCTTAATAAAAGTTTATTTTCACAATGCTTTAAAGCCCCCAGACTCTACAATTCCTGTTTCTCTCAAAAAAGATTTTTTAAAGTCTTAGTATGAAATATTAAATCATGCTTTAAAATTCTGTAGGCTATTTCTTTTTCATCTAAATTAGTTAAAATCATGACAATAAAATGCCAACCAATCAAGGTCCCCAGCTAATAACATTCAAAATAAGAATCATCATTAGGATCCTGTTATGTTTTGATAGTGGTAAAGGGTGATCAACTGCTGCCATTGATCTTAGTGCCGTTAAGTTAATAACGCATTTATATTCTGAAAGCATATGTGTCTTGCACATTTTGATGCTGAGGTATAAAGCCATGTTTTGCCAACATTTTTAAATTAATCTAACATGTAATCTCTTCCACAATAGCAACTATGGTAAAAACCCCAATAACAGTAGCCAACCTGCTGTCATGTTCTATGGTCTTGCAATTAACAGAGTACATAAACATTTATAAACTACACAACCACACCAATTTGTAAGCAACTATGTAATAAATTTTGAAATGTTAGGAATATAATAAAGCCACATTCTAAATACCTTTCTAACTTTCCGTTTTTTCATGTTTTTTTTTACATTCACACTTCCCACTAATTTTTTCACTAGACTACATTAAATCTTAGATTTAAATATGGCCAAACATAAAATAATATTGAAATGGGTGTGACCAAAATAGTTGAGTTTTATCAATGACCTAGCCACTTAAAGCTACTCTCCAAAGGATAAGTTATTCACCCAAGGCAAACATGGAAAAAATTAGAATTAAATCTTAAATTCTTCATGGTTGGCCTGTCAGATACATGGGAATATCCAAGACAAGTTTGGAAGGTCTAAATGTCAAAAGGTTAACTGTCACTGAAGAAAGACCCTACACACACTCAGCAGTGTGTTCAACTTGCAGAAGGAAGTTTGGGCTGGTACAAATCAAGTTAACAAAGTTTTAAGCCCTAGTCAAAGACAACAAAATGCTATTACACCTGAATAACAATCTCTAAGTAACCTCTAGCTTAAATTGTATAGACTCTTGCTACTGTACGATCTTAGGTGAACAGTTCTGCAGCCTTAATTAAAAGGATAAGGCATTTAATCAATTTTCTGCAGTGAATTATTAGGCTAACTTCTTTTCAGCTAGAGACTACAGTATGTTCCACCTTGAGGCTGTCACAATCATGATAATTACCAGACATGCATTTCAACAAATATTCACTGACAAATGAAGTATAAGATTGTGCTAAGTGTTTGGTGGACTCAATATTGAATTATCTCATTATTTTTCCATAAATCCCTTTACTTCCACTAACAAATCTAGACCTACCACTTTTATTCCTACAGGGAAGATGAAGTATGTTACGACTGTTGCTATATGACTATTTTTCTACATTATGGTCCTATTTCTGCTAAATTACTCTTATAGTCTTTATCAATTTAAGCTTTAAAAAAAACAACTACCTTTTAGAACTCTGGAAAGATATTAAATTCACTGAATAAAAAACCTTTCAATTTTGTCCCTCAAATATAATAAAATTCTGATATGATGTTAGACAAGTTAATTAGACAAGTGATCTCCATTTACCTAATATTAATGTTGTAAAGAGGTTCAACTAACTTTTCTTTAGTGAGGCAAGTTTCAATTATCCTAAAAATGGTAAATGACCTATTATTTGTGTATGAAGTGTGTCCCATAGGAAATTCTCTGTGAGTCAAAAACAAAACTTTGCAGACAACTGTTAAATATAATGTTAATAGGTACGCTGGGCAATAAACTCAAGCTTTTTATTTAACTTACATCTGCTTAGTTTTTTATTGAGTTAAGTATAAAGGCCCAGTTAATCAACTCATTAAATTGGTCAAGGCAGGACACTTGAACTACATTAACAGGATTTAAAAAGTGGTTGGTCTTTTAGTAGTTCTCTGGTAATCACACACGCACACACACACATACACAAATTGGTAGAGTACTCTGGATATAGGATTTCCCCCCTTAATCTTATATAATGTGCTGTTCACAATCCGCAGTATTTTGAAAACTATATAAATTGGACATGACCAAATTACAGATGTCTGATAAACTCTTATAAAGTATTTGGGAACTACAGCTCTAGTCCCAAAAGGATCAATTTTAAACTATAAAAAAGGAAAATTCATATAAAATCACAACAGACTTAACAGACATCTTTGAAAAAAAATCAAATTGCAACTCAATTTTCTACTTTTTCAAATATGACCGAGAAAAAAAGAAGTGCAAGTAGTAATGTCTACATTTTTTAAAAAAACTATTAACCGAGTGGACTTGGGGAAGAAAAAAAAAACTATACAGTATTATTGCACTCCACGAATGTGCAGAATTCCAAAATGTGCCAGCACTGAAAAACTGCCTTGCATTGAGGTTTTCCAAGAGGTACAACGAGCCTGCCAAGAAAGCATCTGGTCTGTACTAACAGCTTGCTGTCTTCAGTACAGGCCTTCATAATGTCAGTCACGCTGCTCTTGCAAAAATCCCTTAATGTCTGAAAGACACACAGAAAAAATATTTTGTTTCAAAATTCACTCTTGTAAAATCCACTCATTGATCAGAAAAGAACTGAGAACATCCCTGTTAAACAAAATTAACTAACTTTCACCTCTCTATGTTCACCCACATTTGCTTATAAATTTTCTATCTTGAGCATGTGAAAAGAATTTGCATAGTTTTAGGAACTAGTTATTTGAAGGTAAGGGGAGGGTATATATGTACAATATATGTACAGTATATGAATTCTGGCCATTAGAAGTTCACAAGTCAAAAAAATGATGTGGCCCAATTATTAAACCTTAAACATAAAATTAATAGTACAACCTTTTAGGCCCAATTATTAAGCCTTAAACATAGGCCCAATTATTAAGCCTTAAACATAAAATTAATAGTACAACCTTACTTTATTTTAGCAGATCCAAACTCTCTTGGTCATTTATAAATTTTAATGAAGAAGACAACCATCTGTTAAACCTTAAGTTGGAAACTCAATTGACAATATATGCAATATCTATTATTATATATATCTATATCTATTATGCTAATATATGAAATATCTTGCTGATTCATTACAATTAACTGATACCTATACACAGTTACTGTATTTTTAAACTACTTACAGAAGAGTTTTCAGTGCTGATAGGTGGGGCTATGATCGATGGTGTGGGATTGAATCCATATGCACATTGAGCTTCATTTCATTGTCAAGAATTTGAACAAGCTGTTGCATGGATGGAAGGTGACCAGATTCCAGCTTAGACCACACAGGTACATCTATAAAAATAAATGGTACCACCCCTTCCACATTAAAGATGATTCTATAATAGACTTTCATTCTATAAACATGTATTGTCTATGCACACAGCTGGAGATAGAATTCAGCTTCTTGCTTTCATGGAGTTTACATTCTAGTAGGGGAAATATAAAAAGAACTATATAAATAGCTACAAAATCACATTTGTATACTAAAAATCAAAACTAGAAGATGCTATGAGAGGGACATATGAGAGGCTGGGAAGGAGCCTTTGTACTTACTATCATTAAAAGAGAGAGATTATTAAAATTGGGAGATATTATTAAACGTGAAAGCTGAAATATAGAAGAGTGGTACAAGGGAGGCTGGAAAGGTTGGCAGGGATTAGATCAGGGATCAAGAAACTATAAAGTAAGCATTTTCAGCTCAAGAAGATGTATAGTCTGTCCCAGCTACTTAACATTCATTGTAGCCTGAAAGCAGATAAATGAATGGGCATGGCTGTGTTCCAATAAAACTTTATTTACCAAGCAGGTAGCAGAGGACATGGTCCACAGGGCTATGGTTTGCCCATGCCCAGGCTACATCATTCAGGGCCTTTTGTCCATGTTAAATGTTCTGGTCTTTATCTTGAGAACAAAATAAAGCCATTTAATAAACTTGAGGGAGTGAAGCAACAAGATGAAATGTGCATTAAAAAAATTTTCTTTTAAATGACTCAAGTGTTGGAGCAGATGTCAGCAAATTTTTCTGTAAGAAGCCAGATAGTATATATTTTAGGCTTTACATACCAAGAGGCAAAATCAAGGATACCATATAGGTACTTATAAAACCAGGGAGATATAGTTCCACAATTTTTCAATGATGAAACTCAAAACTCTAGGTATGAATACTGAAGTCTGAATGTCATATAATTTCCACATCACAAAGTATTTTTAATTTTTTTAGCCATTAAAAAATATAAGAGGGAATTCCCTGGCGGTCCAGTGGTTAGGACTTGGTGCTTTCACTGCTGGAGCCCAGGTTCAATCCCTGGTCGGGGAACTAAGATCAAGAAAGCCGCGTGGCTTGGCCAAAAAAAAAAAGTAAGAGCCACCAAGCAAGATGGATGTACCTAGAGATTATCGTACTAAGTGAAGTAAGCCAGACAGAGAAAGCCAAATATCATATGATATCGCTTATATGTGGAATCTTAAAAAATAAAGACACAAATGAACTTATTTCCAAAACAGAAAGAGACTCACAGACACCGAAAACAAACTTATGGTTACCAAAGGGGAAAGGGGGGTAGGAAGAAAAATAAATTAGGAGGCTGGGATTAACATATACATACTGCTTTCTATAAAATAAATAACCAACAAGGACCTACTATATACAGCACAGGGAACTATACTCAATATTATGTAATAACCTATAAGGGAAAAGAACCTGAATCACTGTGCTGTATACCTGAAACCTACACGACATTATAAATAAACTATACCTGAATAAAAAAATTTTTAATATAAAGAAATTTTAAAATTGTAAAGCCACTGTTAGCTCATAGGCCATATTTGCCGACCTCTGGTTTAGAGAATATGTTAGAGGATAGCAAGATAATTGTGGCTTGGATTAGGATGGTTAGCAATGAAGATAGATAGAAGATTTTTGAAAACTGTAAAAAGTAGAATTGAGAAAAATTGGTAATCCATTAGATATGGAGAGTAAGAGAAATCTAGGATGTTTTCCTAGGTTTCTGACATGGGCAACTGGGTAGAATGATAATGGTGCCCTTAAATAAGTGAGAAATGTCAGGGAAGGAGCAAACTGGAGTATAAAACAATTGCAGGAAGCTGAGGTAATCAACAGTTTGGGAGTAGGTAATGTTCAGGATTCCTGGCTATAACACCTAGAAGAGAGGTGTAGAGTTCTCCAGAGCTATACATTTAAGGGTCATCATATAGATGTTATTCTAAAGCCATGGGAGTAGGTGAGGACCATGTAAAGAGATAATTTAGCATATTATGAAAAATGGAAAAGCTTGATGCTTATTATAAATCATTTAACATTTATCACAGAATGCAAACTATTCAGAACCTACCATTCAAAGTTATCTCAAATGCACCTGTTGACATACACTGGTTCTCAATCATGTTGCTCAAGAAAAAGACCATCATACATGCATAGACCTAAAAGAAAATACAATTAAGTACAATAGGTAAATTCATTTTCAAATCAAAACAACATCACAAATTAAGTAAGCTTTTAAATAGTCTCATTTTTATTTGGAAATTGCTCTTTTTAAATCTACTTTAAGTTTCTATACAAATTATTACTGCTACTCCATATATTCAGATAGTGTACACAGAAAATTGCAACATTAATTCACAGCTCTATACATTCTGAAGAAATTACGTTATTCCTAATGTAAAGATAAAATTTCTAGAAATCTCATAATAGCCTTAATAAGTTAAACAAAAGAATACCAGCATAAGAAGGGTTCATTTTAGAATTTTTATAATATAATGTATGAACTCACAAGAGACTAGTGATGCAACTAGTCAGCAACTCCCTGTATTCCGTGTTCCAAACAAATCATTTTAAGTCAAACTAAAAAAAAGTTGGTTAGAAAGCACTAGCATATTAAGTTACATTCATTCACCTTTTGAAGGCAAATCTATACTGTCCCAAAAGATCAGAGGCTCCTGTTGAACAGAAAAGTTTCAATTTAACAAAATCACCTAAAAGCAGGATGTAGTGAGGATGTCAATTCACAGCCAGCTGTTTCAGAAAAATAAATCAAAATGCCTATAGCAGATGAGAAGGAGATTTCCCCTAACCCCACTTGAGCTAGGTGGGCTTTGATTTCACAGAAGTTATCCTAGCATTTGGGCACAAAGTCTACTTTCATGAGAACAATACACAAGTTAAGTGTCACGAAAGCTACAGCCTTCAAGTATCCTCTTCCACAGTAGACTGACAATGTTATAAGCCTAAAGAAGTAAAAATGCACTAAAGACAATTTAGAATCAACAGAATGAACAAATATAGCACAAAACATTATCAGTAAGTACTTAATTTCTAATTCTTAATCCTATGTAAATCAATATTTTGTTAATAACAGAGTAGAGACACATCTGAATTAGAGGTAGCACCTGAGGATGTTTATGTTAAGAAGCCTTGCCTGTGACTGGAAATAAGTGATTCCCTAAGAAGTACAGCTATGTTAGGAGTTGGATAAAGGTAGTCTCAGCCTAGAACTAAAGGATAAGACCAGAGGACTCCAAAAGAGAATACTTATTAGAAGGAAACCTAGTAATCTCATTCAAGGGAGAAATTATTCCCATTTCTCACAGCAGAAAGGTACACCCTCCAGAAAAGATGGTTTTAAGTAAAACAGATGAGAGATCTGGAAAGAGTATATGATGCAGCAAGACCCTACCAAAGAATAAAATAAACAGCACAAGATTCTTATGTATATTTACATTGATTGTTTCAGGTAATCTGCTTTAGGTTACCCATGAACAGAAAAGTCAAAGAACAAATAATAAAAACAGAGAATTTTGATAAGAATAAATTGGTGGAAATCCCATTTTTAACATGAATAAACCTATTAATACCCATATTAGTTGGTATAAAAGGCCTACATTATGTATATATTATGTTTTGCTGTATGATTTGGCCCAACTTGTATAATCAAAATCAAAATCAGGTATTAAATTATTTTGTGCCCAGGTTCTACTAAAGTAACACCTCTCTGTCCTTCAAATAATAAAAAGGTAAGACCTAATCATTCTTAATGTATAAATATGGAGACTAAGGCTAAAGGAGGTTAAGTGCTTTGCCCAGAAATAAAAAGTGGTTTAAGTTGAAATAGCAAAAAGTACTGAAAAAAAAAAAAGAAAGAAAAAGAAGAATCCATTAAAATATCTCACTGACAACTAAGAACCTACAGCTACCAAAGCTATTACATTACATACCTTGTTTTCTTGGCCCCACTGCCAGATGCTAGGCGCTTGCATGCCAAAGAAAGCAAAAGGATCCTTGCCAACAATTATTAAGCCTATTAACACTAGCTTGAAGACTGACAGGAAAGATGCTATATGTCTATTAAAAGAAAAGAAGGAAATTCATCAGAAGCTGCAATTTCTCATCTACTTCAAAATTTCTTTAACTCAAGTCTATGTGTATAAACATTTTCTAAATACCAAATCTAAAAATTGCCAACTATACTAGGAAAAAACTAGTAACTAAATTTTATTGTGCAGTTTTAAAACAAAAATGTTTAACATCTTTTGAATCAATCAAAAATTAATTTATAAAACTATAGAGCACTGGCCTTTAAAAATACTATTTTAACAGTACAGAATCTTGTACCACTGACTTTCTATAAAAATGTAGGAGTTCTTGGGCTTCCCTGGTGGCGCAGTGGTTGAGAGTCTGCCTGCCGATGCAGGGGACACAGGTTCGTGCCCCGGTCTGGGAAGATCCCACATGCCGCGGAGCAGCTGGGCCCGTGAGCCATGGCCATTGAACCTGCGCGTCCGGAGCCTGTGCTCCGCAACAGGAGAGGCCACAGCAGTGAGAGGCCCACGTACCGCAAAAAAAAAAAAAAAAAAACTTGTAGGAGTTCTTGATCTACGGCCACAATAAAAATTACATAAGAAAACACATCTTTAGAAGGGTTGCCATCTCTGAAATGATCTTCCTCTATTCCTTGTTACAGAAAAATTCTTCCATATTTGGATCAAATAAACTTGCCATTTATAAAACTGTTCTCTGTAAATTATAACCAACTAAGAAATTATAATAACCAAGGAAAGTTAATTGAACCAATTCACAAAATTTTATTTACAAATGTGAAAGAATTCACTTAAAAAACTCGTTTATAAACTACAGAAATTTACTTACCTATATATTGGTTGAGGGAGGTAATTCTCTCCTTCAATGCGGATGTCCGGGTACCGCTGGCTAATAACCCGCATGTACTCCTCAAACACCCGCCTATAACCTCAGGAAACACTGCAGAAAAATGAAAGTGCTTCCAATTAAGTCATTTAGAATATGACTAGATTTATTTTGTAGTTATACAAAGCCTAAAAATTATTACCAAGATTAAAAATGTTTCTCAAGAACAGTCACAAACGAATAATGATTGATGCTGGATACATGAATTTTTTTCATAGATTTCACATATTTAAGTTATCTTCCCTTCAAGTAAATCCTTCTATTAGAACATTAAACTTTATAGATCTGGGTTACTGTTGGAGAGGAACAAATACCTATTCAGAGAATCCGCCATATTCTGAGCTCTCAAATCATTTTGCCTTTTTTTCTGTTGTTGTTGTTGGTATCAACAACTGTATAAACACTGAAATGAAAACAACTCTTATTTATCTGAAATAGGGACTTTCAACATTTGGGCACAGGAAGCTTAAAAAAATACCAAGGCACGAGACATGACACCCTGTTTCTTATTCCCACTCTACCCTTAACTAGGCAAACATGCCTGCTCAATCACAATAAAAGAAACTTGAAAAATTCTTAGGAAAAAAAAATTCTTAGATCCTTTCTGACTCTAAGATTTGATTCTATTTTGCAAAGACTGGGAAGATACTTTTCAGCAATATGACAGTAATGTATGTCATTACTCCAGAAATTAAGTCAACAGCATCCCATCACCTTCATTAAACTCTCTGAAAAACTAGGCTATGGATATATGATATTTGTTGCCCCAGCAAGAAAAGGGAGATATGCCACCAGAATGAATATACAGGGGGAAAAAAGTACACTGAAAACTTTAGTAAGACATTGATGAAAGAAACTGAAGACACAAATAAATGAAAACATATCTCATGTTTGTGAATCAGAAGAATTTATATTTTTAAAATGTCTATACTACCCAAAGCAATTTACAGATTCAATGCAATCCATATCAAAATTGCAATGACATTATTCACAGAAATAGAACAAACAACCTAAAATGTGTATAAAACCAGAAAAGACCCCAAACAGCCAAAGCAATCTTGAGAAAGAAGAACAAAGCTGGAGGCACCATGCTTATTTCAAACTATATTACAAAGTTACAGTAATCAAAACAGTACGTATGGTAGTTGCATAAAGACAGAAACACAGATCAATTAGACAGAAACCAGAAATAAACCCACACATACATGGTCAATTAATTTTTAACAAAGAAGCCAAGAATATACAATGGGAAAAGGATAGTCTCTTTAATAAATGGTGTTGGGAAAAGTGGACATGAAAAGAATGAAACTGGACCACTATCTTACACCACACACAAAAATCAACCCAAAACAGTTTAAACAGTTGAACAGAAGACCTGAAACCATAAAACTCCTAGAAGAAAACATAGGGAGTAAGCTCCTTGACACTGGTCCTGACAATGATTTTTTTTTGGCCTTGACACCAAAAGCAAAGGCATCAAAAGCAAAAAATAAACAAGTGGGACTATGACAAACTAAAAAGCTTCTGCACATCAAAGGAAACCATCAACAAAATGAAACGAAGGGCAACCTACACAATGGGAGAAAATACTTGCAAATATAACCTCTGATAAGGGGTTACTATCTAAAACATATAAGAAACTCATACAACTCAATAGCCAAAAAATTAATAACCTAATTAAAAGATGGGAAAAAGCGGGGCTTCCCTGGTGGCGCAGTGGTTGAGAGTCCGCCTGCCGATGCAGGGGACACGGGTTTGTGCCCCAGTCCGGGAAGATCCCACATGCTGCGGAGCGGCTGGGCCCGTGAGCCATGGCCGTTGAGCCTGCGCATCCAGAGCCTGTGCTCTGCAACGGGAGAGGTCAAGATAGGGAGCGACGGACCCAGCAAAAAAAAAAAAAAAAAAAAAAAAGGGAAAAGGGGGGAATTCCCTGGCAGTGCAATGGTTAGGACTCAGTGCTTTCAACTGCAGGGGCCTGGGTTTAATCCCCGGTTGGGGAACTAAGGTCCTGCAAGCTGGGTGCATCCAAAAAAAAAAAAAAAAAAGGCAAGGAAAGCTGAATAGACATTTTCACAAAGATGACATACAAATGGCCAACAGGTAGATGAAAAGGTGCTCAACATCCCTAATCAACAGTGAAATGCGAATCAAAACCACAATGAATTATCATCTCATACCTGTTACGACGTCTATCGTTAAAAACACAATATAAAGCAATGAAGGTACCACTTGGTAGGAGGGAGCAGAATCAGTAAGAGATAGTAGGGTGAAACCCGAGATGCCAACTTTGTCAATCATACAATCATCAAGGAAAAAAATACCACAATCATCAAGGAAAAAAATACCACAATCATCAAGGAAAAAAATATCGACCACCACCAGGACCAACTCAAGGGATCAGCAACAAGTTTATATCTGATAGGGAGAACCAGTCCAAATATTAGTAGATCTCAATGTAAGAAAACTCACTTTTCAAAAAAAAAAAAAGAGAAATTCACCACTCTTTCTTTGCAAGTAATACTTCTTTTACATTTAGAATGAAAATTTCACACAAAATTAAGTCCCTAAAAAGTATGAAATTTTTGCAAAGGGAGACAAGTCTCTATTACCTAAATACTTAAAAGAACTTAATCTCCAGACACCTTATCTTTCCTAAACATTCACCTTATCCAATATTTTATTATTACTGTTGTCAGATTCACAACTGCTTTCTACATAAGAAAATTTTAATGTTGCTTTTGTTTTGAAGATACTACCAAAAAAAATGTAAAGCACTTATATGCCTAACTACCTTGAAACCAAGAAATGCCACCTGATTTCAATGCCTAAGTTTGCATTGGTGTTTACAATGGAGTTGATGATCTAAAATGATAGTAGATAACTTTTAAGGCATTAATTGAGAGCTGGAGACTTACTTGAGTTGAAATTTCCTTGAGTTGAAATTTCCTTTTTTATAGATGAAGGGGAAAAAATTGAAACCCAGAGAGATCAAGTGACTTCAGATATGGTCCCTGCCCTTAGTCAGGGCTGAGACCAGAACACAGACTTTGTGATTTGAGATCCTAGGCCCTTTCCATTAAACCTCAATAAAAGTTAGATGATGTAAGAGCTAACCTTCCCTGTGTCCCCAAAGCCACAATCAAGTACCCATAAAATAGCAGATATCTCTTGAGGTTCTTCCATGATGAAGATATAGATTCTCCCTCTGGGTGAACTAAGCCTGTGGACCCCAACAGTCGTCATATTTGCTCTGGGACTTCCAACCCTTCGTAAAGGAAAGTATGTCTATATACAGGCCACACTTTAGGTCAGAGTCCTCCTAGTTTTCTGGCTATTATGCTCAGAAGCCTAACTCTATCCTTGGTTCTTCAGGTCTCAACTCCTCAGTTAAGTCACAAATCTTTTTATCAAATTTCAAACAGAATCAATCCATAATCTTGAAATATAAAAAGGACTTTAAACCTTGTAAGTTTCTTCAAATTTCCAGTTATAAAATGATAAAGTCGTGGAGATATATAATGTACAGCATGGTTGACTGTAATTAATAATACTGTATTTCATATTTGAAAGTAGCTAGGAGAGCAGATCTTGAAAGTTCTCATCACAAGAAAAAAATTAATGTAACTGTATGGTGATGGACATTAACTGGACTTATCGTGGCGATCGTTTTGCAATAGATACAAATATCAAGTCACTACATTGTACACCTGAAACTAATGTGTTATACCTCAAAAAAACTGTACATTTCTTATTTCTGAAAAATGAAGTAGTTTACAAGACTGATACAACCTATTTTTAGGCAAGTTTACTTATGCATTAGTAAACTTTCCTCCCTACATTTGCTTTGAGACTTGTGAAGAAAAAAGTAACTTTTTCCCTATGTAATAATTTTCCCCAAATGTTCAAATTGTTTTGAAATAGCCATCTCTACTGCTGACAGATGTTTTCCAAAATAAAACATACCTACTGTTTATCAAGGTGGGCAAAATGTTAAGTTAAAGGCACACATGGTAAGGAGCCAGTAATCATTCCACCTCTACCACCACACCCAGTTCTTTCAACTTTTCACTCTTTCTGGGGCAGTGAGTAAAACTATATAACTCATAGTATACCTTCAACGAATAAATATGTAAACACGCTAAAAATATGTTGTAGCTGCTGCCTATTTCTTCTGCCCCTGGACCAAAGGCCCTTAAGTAAATTAAACTGTGAAAAGAAATCTTAATTTAAGTCCTAATCACCTTGCAAATCTCCTTCTTGCAATACAAAAATATCTTACTATATGGAGTCAACTTCTGCAGTTGTTTAATTTAAAGTATTTTACACAATACTTTGCTAAGATTAATTTTCTAAAAGAAAGAACTTGCATACAAATTAGATCGTCTTTCTGTAATGAACAGAAAGGAAATTTAGGCAATTTGTCCATGCTGTTTCAAATAGATTCTGTGCTTTTTTAAGTCCATCAAGTTTCAGTCTCCTAATCCATGGTGCCAACCATCCCACTTTTCCTTTTCTATACTAACATCTGCCCCTAATTGTAGTCAAATGCCTACTTATATCAACTTGAGTCTGTCACAAACCCCAACCTCTCCTATCTCCTTATTAAAGGAAAATGGGGGCAAAATCTCAGATATCTACTGTTATGAAGTAAATACTTGTGATTTCTATTTTTCGCATCTCTTGAACTCACCTTCGCCTTTTATTTACGATAACCTCCCCTCCAATTATCCTCCCACCCACCCATAGGATTGGATCCTGTTTATACAATAACACCCAACCCCTTGCCAATATCTAATGTTCCAGAAATGCAAACCTGTCATGAAGGCTTGAGTTTCCTCCCTAAAAATGAAGAACTGGAATTTTAAAAAGTAACTATCTCCAGACAGGTAAACATTTAATCAGAGCTGTTGTAGGTAGAGGAGAGTGGTAATCTTTCAAAAATACTGAGGAGGACTTCCCTGGTGGCACAGTGGTGGAGAACCCGCCTGCCAATGCAGGGGACACAGGTTCTATCCCTGGCCCGGGAAGATCCTACATGCGCAGAGCAACTAAGC